TGGATGGATGGGTGGGTGGATGGATGGATGGATGGATGGATGGATGGGTGGATAGATGGATGGATGGGTGGGTGGATGTATAGATGTGGGTGGATGGATGGATGGATGTATAGATGGATGGATGGGTGGGTGGATGGATGGATGGATGGATGGATGGATGGGTGGATGGATGGATGGGTGGGTTGGTAGGTGGATGGATGGGTGGATGGATGGGATGAATGAATGAGGCTAGTCGAAGGATGCAAGATTCTACTGTTTCTAAGCTGGGAGGAAGTCCTCTCTGTTGTCCCTCCCCCTTTGAACCTGCCCTCTCTTCCTTCCTCTTCCACTATCTGAGGTTATCTGGCCTGCCCACTCTCCTGGGCCTGCGGGTTCGCCTCTCAAGCAGCTGAATTTCATTTTAGCAAGTGGAACCTCATTAGGGTCTACACTTCTCCCTCCCGTTGTGCATCCTAGCCTGCCCTTTGAGGGAGGCCTTTCTCACAGAACACTTCCTCTCCTCCGTGTCTACAGGGCTGTCTCTGGCTTCCTCTCCTACAAGTCTTGAGTGGCCCTCCCCTCCCACACCCTGTGTTTCTCAAGCACTGAGAATGAGCACATTGATTGAGCACTTGCACTTTTTCCTGGGTTGTCTTGCTTAAGCCTCACTGCAAGAGAGCAGCTCATTGAGGGTGATGTTCAACAGCAAAGATGACCCAACAGATGACAGAGCTGGAATTCAAAGTCACTCGGTCTGGGAAATAGGGATCCGGGCCAGAACAGGCTATAGGTTCCCACATCCAAGAGCCTGGGGTCTGTGGTTGTTGCTTGTTTGTTTTGGGTCATATCTAGGGCCGCTCAGGGCTTACTTTTGGCTCTGTGCTAAGGGATCACTCCTGGCAGGCTCAGGGGATTTTCTGGGATTCCAGGGATCAAACCTGGGCCGGGCACTTGCAAGGCAAGCACCTTACCTGCTGTAGTATCTCTCTGCCTGCTGGGGTCTATTCTTTTTTTTTGGGGGGGGGTGTCACACCCAGCGATGCACAGGGGTTACTCCTGGTTCATACACGCAGGAATTACTCCTGGCCGTACTCAGGGGACCATATGGGATGCTGGGAATCAAACCCGGGTCAGGCCACGTGCAAGGCAAACGCCCTACCCGCTGTGCTATCACTCCAGCCCCTGGGTTCTATTCTTGGCACCAAAAATAAAACAAGTGAAGTCATCCAAGCCAGTCAGTCTGATCTAGGGCCAGGGAGCCTAACTACTGCCATTAGCACTGACCGGTCATATCAGGCCTGGACCGTGCGACCCAGCTGCCTTGTGTTTGCTCATGCCAATTGTGTCTCAAAGGTTCTCCCCTCTATCAGCTACCTGCCCCAAATCTTGGTCCTTCTTTTAGTCTCTTTCCGAGCCACATCTCCTGCAATCTCTCCAGAGAGTCAGACTCTCCAATCTCTGCTTCATGATGTGTGGAATTGTCTCCTCCATCAGGCTATGGAGACTGTTCTATGCCTCCCTCTACTGTCTAGCACAATCCCTGACTCTGGAGAGACCCACACGGAGAGAGGGCGCTGTCTTCAAGTTTGGAGACAGGGTGACAGTGACCCCTTGACTCCTCCCCAGATGAGCAAAGTTTGCAGGAGTGGCCAGTGGATGCTGGAAGGGCAGGAAGCTGCCTAGCCGGATGGGAGGGGCAGTGGAAGGAGGCAACTGGAGACAAGGTCACTAACCACCACTTGTTCCTGGGCCAGGACTGGTCCTGGGACCAGCTGGTAGGGAAGTTCCCTCCTTCCTCACTCCAGAGGTCTCCAGGAATCAACTGACCTTGCCCCCAGGGGGTTTCCCAGCTAACAGGACCAGGAACTGAAGTGAAGGGAAGTAACTTGGCAGGGTGTCACAGAAGGGAGTGTGGCCAGCAACCCCGGCTCAGCACTTGGGATACTGCCACCAAGGGCCATCGGACCTCCGAAACGTGGGTTCCGAGGCTTTGGTAAGAGGGTATTTCCGGGGTGGTGGAGACTTCCTCAGGGTGTGAGGGAAATTGCTCCATCCCCAGAGCAGAGGCCAAAAACTGTCCCAGTGTCCCTCACCAGCGCCATCACTGTATCCTGGGGAGGACTGAGGGCAACTGTCACATTTTACACTTCTGCAAAGCCCCCAGGCCTTTAAAAGGGGCCTCCTAGCTCTTTGGGCCTTGCCCCCTAGCCCACTGATTCCTCCCCCAGAAACGAAGGTTCCCCATTAACTCAAATCCAAAGTCCCAGCTTGGAACACCACTTCCCACAGGCTAGTGGAGCAGCGAGGGCACGGACTCCGGGGTAGGTCTGATGTGGGTCCAAACCCACTTACTGCGTGATCATGAGTTGTTCACCTCCCTGAACTCCAGCTCTCTTCTCCATAAAATGACAATAAAAAATACATCGGAAAACATCCCAATCAAAAACCTGGTCTGGGGCTGGAGCGATAGCACAGTGGGTAAGGCATTTGTCTTGCACGCAGCTAACATGGCCGACACAGGTTCGATTCCCACCATCCCATATGGTCCCCCAAGCACCGCCAGGAGCAATTCCTGAGTGCATGAGCCAGGAGTAACCCCTGAGCATCGCCGGGTGTGACCCAAAAAGAAAAACAAAACAAAACAAAACAAAAAAAACCTGGTCAGTGAGAGGTGCTGCTGAGCTGTGGTTCTCAAACTGTGGTCCTGGAGCCCCCATATGACTTATACTCATGAGGAACACATTTTTCTGGCCCTGGTCAGAATCCCAGGTAGGGCGCAATACGTTGTGGGCTGGGAGATTCCAGTGCCCACTAAGTCTGAGAACCGTGTCCACAGTGTCAGCTTCCCAATATCAGGGGATGGTACCCGAATCCACTACATCCAAAAAGGGATTAATGGATCCAAAGTGAAAGCTGAAACCAATAAGGAAAAGACTGAAGACCACATAGATAATGGACAAAAGATGTGAGCGGACATGTGGCGAGGAAAACCCCAAAGTCTCACACATATAGAAGGTTCTGCCTCTCAGGATAAACAGAGAAATGCAAATGGAAGCAAAAGTGAGATATTTAACACCTTCTACCCAAACCCTGGGCAAAAATGACAGGTAATATAAAAGCTGATAAAAAAAGAAAGTGTGCATGGGGAGGGGGGGATGTATCCTTCCCACAGTGTGAAAGGCATGTGCCCTGCCCTAGAGTAGTTCTACTCTTGGAAATTAAGCACAAAGAAATGTTCCCATCAACCCATAAAGTCCTGTGCAAAGCAGTTTTTTGCAGGGAGTTGGAAGCAAACTAGATGTCTGTCACTGGGAGAATGGGTACAGACAACAGATGCCCTGCTTACGATATTTTGCAGCCGCTGAATACAATGAATTAGATTTATCTGCAGCAACACGAACAAATCTTAAAAACACATTCAGGAGTGACAAAAAAAAGTAAGAGAATGAGATAGATATGGTTGTTGTATAAATATACACAGCATACACACAAAGCATTTTAGATCCCGGGACATAAATCCATGCGTGGAGAGCGGCGGTGTCACCAGAGGTGGGGGATTCTCCAGTATGGAGAATAATTAGATGGAGGGGGAGAAATAAAACACCAGAAAGGTCTTGTATAGACCAATAATGAGGGAATGGTGTTCACAAATATCGTGAATCGGATGCCAACTTGGAACTCTCTGCACCCTACCCTAATAATCATCATATTCCTTTAAAATGGACGATAATAGTTCTCCATTTACAGTATGGCCATGGGCCTGGAGATGGAGGGTGCTGCCAAGCACGGATGGTTTGTTTAGCAACTCACTGAGAACTGCATCTGAGGGCTCACTGCTTCCATCCGTGGGCGTTCACCCAGGCCATGCTGAGAACTTCCCTCGTGGGGCTTGGCCCTCTGCCGTCTTCACATCTCCTTGGTTCCCCCTGCCGCCATGGCTGGCTCTGGGATCCCAGCTTCTCTTCCTCAGGGACTTGGGCATGGAGCCAGGCTGCCGTAATGCTGCAAGGGCAAAATCTAATTCCTCTTCCCAAACTCTGAGTTCCCTGGGGGTCTCTTCCTCCTCCCTATCCCATGGCCCCCAGACAACATGGGTGGACAGAGGGAGAATGAGTTCACTGTGAAAGGGGATAGCTTTTTGGGGTTTTGTTTTGGTTTGGTTTTTGGACCACAATCAGTGATGCTCAAGGGTTACTCTTGCCTCTGAGCTCTCCATCCCCAAGGGAATAGCATTCTGGAGCACCTCTCACCAGCTGGACCTTCCTTAATGTCCATGGCACCAGTGTCAAGGGGGGGGGGCCTCATCGAACTCCCCCACATCCACCAGACCTCGGGTTGTCTGGGTCTAACTCCAAGACCTGGATGAGCTACTCGCCTCAGTGCCTGCACCGGGATCCAAGCAGTCCCAGTCAATTCTCAGCAGAAGAGAAAAGCTCTAGTCCGACTCCGGCCATTAGGAATTTGGGAGTAAGATCTAAGAGTCAGAGACCCTTCCCATCTCGACTTTGAGCCTGGGAGTGCACAAGTATGAAACGGGGCATTGGGGCAGGAGTGAAAATCCGGGAGGTAAGACCTTGCACGCAGCCCACCCAGGCTCAATCCCTGGCACCGCCAGGAGTGATCTCTGAGTGCAGAACCAAAAGTAGCCCCAGAGCTCGGCTGGGTGCAGTTCAAATCTGCTCCCACCAAAAAATAGCAAACAAACAAAAAAACAAAAAGGTTGTCTCGGAATTCTTTTTATCACTTTACCAGCAGGTGGAGCCCACTCTTCATCCCTCTGTTGGCCGAGCCCTCGGAACACCGGGCAAGGAAGCTCCCAAGGCCAGTACTCTGAGCAGGCAGAGAAGACTGCCCAGTCCACCCCCTCCCCGGCCGTGCGGTGACGGCCCAGGGCATCCCTGCCCCCTGCAGGCCGCTCCGGGGACTGCAGGACCGGGCCCGCGGGCTGGACCGCCGCTCCCAGAGCGCTCCGGTCCCGGCTGGGGGTCGCCCAGGAGGGGTGCCCGGCCCAGGCACGGGCGGCGGTGGCAGCCTACAGGTAGTTGTCCTCGGCCGCGTCGCCCGCGCCCGGGGAGTCGTCGTGCGCCTCGGCGTCCGTGCTGTCGTCGTCCGGGGCCAGCGCCTCGATGTCGTGCGTGATGTCGGCCAGCAGCCGGTGGAAGGTCTGCGCGGCCGGGCGCTGCCCCGCGCCGTCGTAGCTGCGCACGGCCGACGCCGACGTGGAGCTCATGCTGCGCTTGATGCGGCCGAAGCTGTCGGTGAGGATGCCGCCGTCGCGGATGCCCACGCCCTCCAGGAAGCCCTCGAAGTAGCCGATGTCCTGGTCCGGGATGAAGGGGCGCATCCCTGCCGGTGGAGGGGCCGGGTGAGACCCGGGGCTTGTGGCTAGAGGAGCCCCTAGGCCCTCCGGAGATCGGAGTCCAAGAGCCAGAAGAGACTAAGGATGTGGCACTGCGTGAACTTCCTAGCGCTCGCTCCTCGTGGCATGACAAGGGTCAGCGGTGGGGCCAGGAGAGAACTGCTCCGAGCCTGACCTCCCTTCCCTGGAAAACTGAGACTGAATCCTGTCTGGAAGCGAGGACTTCAACACGCACTCACCACTTGTTGCCTTGGACAGCTTTTACTTTTTATTTTATTTTTTTTTTTTTGGCTTTTGGGTTCATACCCCGGGATATACAGGGGTTACTCCTGGCTCTACACTCAGGAATTACTCCTGGCAGTGCTGGGGGGGACCCTATGGGATGCTGGAAATCGAACCTGGGCGGGCCGCGTGCAAGACAAACGCCCTACCCGCTGCACTATCGCTCCAGGCCCTTGGACTGCTTTTAACTTGGGTTGCTACTTGCTTCTGTAACTTCAGGACTTTGTTTCACGGAGCCTCCGTTCCCTCGTCTGCTAAATGTGGGGGCAAATCATACTTTCTACTTCCCAGAAAGGAGGGCTTTCAATGAGATGGTGCTTGGCACACGGTACTTGCCACATGCCCTGTTGGCTTATTAATATTAGCCCCCCTGTAACTGTTGCTGTTCACCCTTCTTACTCGTTGTGTGACCTGAAACTACTTCCTGAACCCCCTTGAGCTGGATGGAGCTCCATCTTGGGTTCAGAAGGGAAGAAACATCCCCAGACTTGCTGTGAAGAGGAAGTGGGTGTATACCAGTGCCCTGTTCTTCTTTATGGGAACTGGACCACACATTGTGGTGCTTGGGGGCTAGTCCAAAGGCTCGCACCCCAGCTTCCAACATGTGAAGTGAATTGAGCACTCTCTGTCTATCTCTGTCAGTCTGTCTGTACGTCTGTCTGTCTCTCTCTCTGGTCCAGCAATGCTGATCTTTCCAGCTCCATGGTTCTAGGCAAGTCCATTACCCCCCCCCCTTTTTTTGTTTGTTTTTTGGGTCACACCCGGCAATGCACAGGGCTTCCTCCTGGCTCATGCACTCAGGAATCACTCCTGGCGGTGCTCAGGGGACCTTATGGGATACTGGAAATTGAACCCAGGTCGGCCGTGTGCAAGGCAAATGCCCTACCTGCTATGCTATAGAGTCCATCCCCCTTTTGCTCCTCTCCTCTTAAGCCCCTGGAATCTCACTGCCTCACCTTACGGAGGGACAGGGAATAAATCACCACACTCATCCCAGAGTCCAATTCAGACTTTCAGAACCCTTAAGAGGCTTGGGCTTGACCTGGGAGAGGCGCTAGGGTACAGGGGGATGCAGAGGCTCACCGAGGAGGAGGAACTTCCGCCGGTCCCCGTAGAGCTTCAGCAGGCCTGCGCAGTAGTCCTGGATGGGCAGTCCCAGCCGGTATTCCCGCAGCAGCAGCGCGAACTGCTGGATCTCAGGGGGCCCCAGCTTACTCCTCAGCTGGGGGGACATACTGGACATCAGCGGCAGGGAACAACCCCTGGCCCCAAGTGCTGTGGAAGAAAAGTCCCCCAGCCCTCTCCGAGGGCCTGTTTGGCCAGGGGTCCACTCCAAACATTGCCCTGGCCTACTAGAGCGCGTGCAGACCACTGGAGATGCAACTAATAATACTGGAAGACCCTAATCCTGGAACACCAGAGCGGGTTCTCTGGTTCAGACATTAAAGAGGCAGGAATCTCTTAACAGGTACCAGCCTCTGGGGCGTTCCCTGCAGCAGTGTTATAAGGCAGTTCCAAACGGAAAGACACAATGAAGTAAAAGGGGTTTTTTTGTTGTTGATGTTGAAGTTTTTGGATAGATCCTTGAGTTGGATAGGCCTTGTGCATCACAGATGGACAGGGCCATCATGAGTTCAGGACCCCTTCCTGTCACTCCAGCCTCTCAGCCCCAGGGCCTGCACCCTCCCAGCTTACCGTGACCATGTAATCCTGCAGCTGCTCAAGGCTCAGGCCGCTGTGGTCGCTGCCGCTGCAGTGGGAACCGTGGAACGAGGGCGTGGACGTGCCACTGTAACAGGCTTCGAATGTGTCCTGGGAGCCATTGCTGGAGGCACAATGGGGGTGAGGGGGCCTTTAGATCCTCTCTTAGTGGTGGGCTACAGGGGGAGGCTCGGTCATGCCTCCCAGGACTGTGGGCTCTGGGTCCCGACAGCCCTGAAGCTGGTCTCCCTCTGCACTCAGGCCGGGTCGCTCGGCCTTCTCTCTGCCCTCACGCTTCACCTCTGGCCTTTGCACATGCTTTGCCTCTGCCTGGACTAGTCCCCACTTCCACCTTTCACTCAGATCCTGGTTACTCATCATCAGATCCTGACTGTCACTTCCCCAGTGAACTTCCCCTGACCCTCCAAGACAGGAGTCACAAACGAACCAGAGATAACTCAAAGGGCTGGCGTGCAGGCTGGGTAGGAGGCAGGCCCGGGTTCCATCTCTGGCAGCGCACGGCTCCCCAAGCACCACCAGGAGTGACCCCAAGCAAGATGGGAGTAGCCCCGGATGAACTGGATGTGGCCCTCTAATCAAAACTGGGGGCCAGAGAGATAGTGCATGGGGTAGGGCACTTGCCTTGCATGTGGTCAACCTGGGTTCAATCCCCAGCACCACATAGGGTCCCCCAAGTCCCTCCAGGAGTGATCTCTGAGTGCTGAGCCAGGAGTAAGCCCTGAGCACAGACAGGTGTGATCCCAAAACCAAAACCCAAACAAAATAAAACCAGAACACGTGGTCACCGGGTCTGCAGAGTTCACCCGGTCTACACCAGGGCTTCTGTGTCCCTCCATGTCCCCTCCCCACTTCCTTCCACCCTCTCCAAGGGCCCCTGGCTACTGCTCAGACCCGGAACGCCGCCACCCTGATGCTCCGGCTGCTCAGGGTCCTCCCCTTCAGTCTCCACGTCCCTGTTCAAGGGTCACTACCTCCAAGGAGCCCTCCTGTCTCCCCAGAAGGGCTCAGATGTCCCTCTCTCGGCTGCCAGCTCTTCTGCTTAGTGCTTCTCAGCCCTGCTACTCGTGCCCATGGAATAATGGCTCCACTCTTCCCTGCACTGGACTATCGGCCAGCCCGAGCAAGAACCAGGTCTCTCTGCCCAGTGCCCATTTACCCGAGTCCTTGACTTCCTGCCCACGCATCCCTAGCACATGCGCAGTGCGGGCCCAGGGGAGGCTCTGGACAAACAGCGCTTCAGTCCAACATCAACCTCAGGCTTCTGTTTCCCGGGGTGAATGTCCCAACACCATCTTCCATTCTTACTAACAGGGCAGCAGTGTCGCTGGATGGCGAGGACGGTGGACTCCAGAGCCGGCCTGCTCGGGTCCTTCCCAGGTGTGGGACTTTCTAGCAGCCTGACCTCGCGCCCACAGTGGGTCCCCACAACCCCACATGAAGGTAGGATCACTTTCCCACTCTGCTTCTCAGGGGTCTTGGGAACGCTGTGTGTGCACGCTTGCACGCGGGGTGGGGGACGGGTGGGCAAGGACGGCGTTCCCAGCACGAGCAGTACCCACAAGGAGCTGCAGCAGCTGAAGTCAGCGTCGTAAGCGTAGGTCCCGTCCGTGCGGCAGCTCTCACCTGGGGCCGGCAGACAGAGGGATAGATGTCAAGGCAGGGACCAGCGCCCCAGCTGTGTTCCTGGAGGCCCCAACCTCCAGGCCCTGGGCTCTGCTCCCTTGGGACTGGGGTGGAGACTGGGGCATGGTAGGGGGAGAGAGGAGTGAGGGAGGATGCAATTCTGAGGGTCTCAGCTTTCACTGTGAGCTAAAGGGGCAGCCAGGGGCTGCAGCGTTAGTACAGCGGGTGGGCATTTGCCTTGCATGTGGCCGATCCAGGTTCGATTCCCAGCATCCCATATATTCCCCTGAGCACCACCAGGAATAATTCCCGCGTGCAAATTCAGGAGTAACTTCTGAGCATTGCTGGGTGTGACCCCAAAAAATACACAGTAAATAAATAAATAAATGGGCAATCACAGAAGTTACTGACCTGCCCCCACCCCCACCAAAATATTGATTCCTACTTCCCCCCAATATCCAGGATTATCTGTTGAAGACATGGACAGCTTGAAATACGTATTGAGTGGGCATCTTTGTTTGACCAGTATCCCCATGGGCTGGATTATTCGTTTTCCCAGTTCCCAGGATGGGTGAGCCTCCAAAAGACTGTCAGCTCCCCAAGGCTGGCGACCTCGAAGAAGAAGGCTCCCTCGGGGGCCCTGCAGGTGCTGTGGGGAATGAGGCTGTTTTGGAGCAAAGCTACACAATCAGGTACACCACGTCTGAATGCTCAGTCTGCCCTTGACCAGCTGTACGACCTTAAGCAATTACTGGTCACACTGAGCCATAGTGTTCTCAACTGTAAAATTAGACTCAGACGGTCTAACAGCGTTCTTTCATCCATAAAAAAAAAAAAAGAAAGAAAAAAGAAACAACAACAACAACTACAAAAACACCTTACTGGGGGCTGGAGCAATAGCACAGCAGGTAGGGCGTTTGCCTTGCACGCGGCCATCCTGGGTTCGATTCCCAGCATCCCATATGGTCCCCTAAGCACCGCCAGGAGTGATTCCTGAGTGCAGAGCCAGGAATAACCCCTGAGCATGGGCTGGGTGTCGCCCAAAAAGCAAAAAAAAAAAAAAAAAAAAAAAAACTAAACAAACAAACAAAAAACCACCTTACTACTTGAGTATCTGCACTGCTCCTGGTCTCCAGAAGGAACAGCAGATACAGGAAGCAGGACAGACACTGGTGCAGGGAGGATAAAGGAAGACTTGGCACATCATAGTTGATGCTGAATAATAACTCCTACCAACTCATCTCAGCCCTTGACTGCATACAGGGACCAAAACCTCTGGTTTTGATCTAGTGGGGTAAAATAGATCAGTGAGCAGACAGGGCATGTGGTTAGGACCCTCCACAGGGAACCAAACACAGAAGAAGGAGACAAAGTTCCACTCCCAGGACCTTTGTCTGAATCTGGGCATGGGGACATCTAATGAAGAAGCTGTTTGAAGCCATCATGAAAACTGACACTTGATTGGAACTCCAGAAGAGACTGTAATTGCCATGAAGATCAAAACCCCTAAGAAGTTTTCTTGGACTCTGGTTCTTGGGGCACTCCCTTGCCCTTCCAGGCAATCTCATAGGGCAGGGGGGAGATAGATCACTCACTGCGGCTGCAGAGCCACGGTCGCTCAGGAGTGGACGTGTAGTGGTAGCCAGCCCGGTCCACGCACTCGATGCTCTGGTCCCCATAGATGATCTGGAAGACCTGACAGATGAGGGCACAGGACTCCTCGGCAGCATCCTGATTCAGGTGGGGACAGTGACCTCAGGTCCTCCCCGGTGACCAGACAACCCATTTTCTAAAACATCTTGGGAGGCAGTTCAAGGGGTACACACACACACACACACACACACACACACGCACACACACACACACCTTTAAGTTCAATCTGAGACCATCAAAATTATTTCCCATCCCAGGCAACTTGTTGGATCTTGAGTGCATTTATAGAAGCCAGTGACAATTCTAACTCTTCTGCCTTGAAAATATATAAATACCCCAAATTCCGGGAAATTCTTGGACTCTTCTGATACTCATTCTAAAATAAGCCCTCATTTAGTCTAGTTTTCAGGGAGGACACTGAGGCCTGGAGAAATAAAGTAATTAGCCAAGTCTAGAGCCCAGATCTCCATGTCTAAGAAGTAGAGGAATAATTAAAAGTGTGAACATTTTAGCTTTAATACAGTTCCTATTACTGAATGCCATATTTAGATCTGAGCTTCCTGGTAGCCACAGAGAAACTGTAAGCAGAAAAAAACCACAAATTTCAGCCTCTGATAGAAGAAAGGAATTGGTGGGGGCAGGGGGACGGGTTAGGAGCTCAGGGATCACTCTTGGTGGTGCTCAGAAGACCATAAACAGTACTAGGGATCAAACTTCAGTCATCCGCCTGCAGACAGTGTCTTTTTTTTTTTCTTTTTGGGTCATGCCTGGAAATGCTCAGGGGTTACTCCTGTCTCTGCATTCAGGAATTACTCCTAGTGGTGCTCGGGGGACCATATGGGATGCTGGGAATCGAACCCGGGTTGGCCATGTGCAAGGCAAACGCCCTACCTGCTGTACTATCACTCCAGCCCCTTGTGCCTTAACCCCTTTACTATCCCTCTGGCCCAGATGAAAGAAATTTTTTAAGTTCTTGAGTGAAACTTTCTTGAAAGGAAAAAAAAAAGGTCCTGGGTATAAATGAAAAGGTAGCTGAGGGTTAGCATTTTAGGACGAAGAAGTGGACTGTCATCAGACAGAGGTTGATCCTTGCAAAGCACCTAAAAACAGGGAAGAGTTCATACTTCCTGCAGATAGACTCTGGAACTCACGGTGGGGGTGGGGGAAGAGGGAAGTTGTGACAGTGCTGTCTTCACAGAAGGTTTCATACCACTGATGAATCCTGGGCTTGCTATTGCTAAGAAATCATTTTTTTTTAGGGGGGGATGCCGGAATAATAGTACAGCAGGTAGGGCATTGACGGAATACGGCCCCGGATGAGATAGTGAAAATGTGGAGAAGTAGATGCATTTTCATTGTTTCCACAATACAGTCCCCTGATTTGTAGAAAGAGTGGCTGTGGGGCATAAGGATGAGGAGCCAAGAGTCCCTGCAGGGTCTGGAACTGAGTAGCAACAGGCCGTGAGAGGGGTCAGCAGCTAATGTGCGGGCCCTGCAAGTGTGAGGTGATGAGTGCCAGCCCTGATGCCAATGCCTGTGCCAAGCCTGATCCTGGCAGCTCTGCTATCTATGATCCTTGGCACTATAGTCATTTCTTTTCTTCTTTTTATTTTTTTTTGTTTTGTTTTGGGGTCACACCCATCCTTGCTCAGGGCTTACTCCTGGCTCTGCACTCAGGATCATTCCTAGTGCACCTGAGGAACCATATCTGTCAGGTGCTGGGGGAACACACCCAAGTCGGCGGCATGCCAGGCAAATGCCCTACCAGCTGGCTGGCCCCTGCAGTCATGTCTGCCAGCACCTTAGCCAGGTGTGTGGAAGCACTGCAATCAGAACGTGAACCCCCATGAGTACTGTGGTCGAGCATGGGAGCACCACCACCAAGTATGGAGAAGGAGTCCTAGTCATTACAACCTCAACAGAGGGAAGGAAGGTATTAAAACAAAACAAAACAAAACAAAAAATAGAAGATTGGTCCCCTGAGCATGCCAGGAGTGATCCCTGAGCACAGAGCCAGGAGTGAGCCTGGGCGTGACTTAAACCTACTTCCAAAAATTAGAAGGCCAGGGGACTGGAGCGATAGCACAGCGGGTAGGGCGTTTGCCTTGCACGTGGCCGACCCGGGTTTGATTCCCAGCATCCCATATGGTCCCCTGAGCACCACCAGGGGTAATTCCTGAGTGCAGAGCCAGGAATAACCCCTGTGCATGGCCAGGTGTGACCCAAAAAGCAAAAAAAAAAAAAAAAAAAATTAGAAGGCCAGAGAGAGAGTACAGTATGTATCCAGCACTGGCCTTGCATATGACTGACCCCAGCACCATAGATGATTCTCTAAGCACTTCTAGGAGTGATTCCTGAGCACAGAGCGAGAAGCTGAGCACTACCAGTTGAGGCCCAAAACTAAAACCAAAAAAGACTGACCAAAGGAAGAAGAGAGTGGCCATTCATCAAGACAATTCCCTGCGCCCAGGGAAGAGCAGGTTTGAGGGAGAAAACTGGGAGCTCAGCTTTGGGCTGGCTAGTCTAGAGGCTCATCTGGAGATTGGACGGGAAGAGATCAGACCTGGGGAGTTCTGTGTTTTAAACTAGGACACTTGCCTTGCATGTGGCCCTACTGGTTGGAATCCCTGGCACTACATAGAGTCCCCGAAGCACCACCAGGGGTCATTCCTGAGCACAGAGACTAAAAAAAAAAAAAAAAAAAAAAAAAAAAAAAAAAAAAAAAGCCCCGAGCACCACTGGGTGTGGCCTGAAAAACAAAACCCAAACAATCAAAAGTCACTGGACCAGGGATCACAGAGGATGGGTGTTTGGAGGAAAGCGGCTCCAGCCCCACCCCGCCATGTCTATCTTGTTTCCACGGTTCACAGACAGAGGAGACGACTGGGAGGCCCTGCTCAGAGGAAATGCTCAAAGCGCTCAGGCCTTGAAACTGTTTGCTAGACCCTGGGCTCCCTAAGGGAAGGTTCCAAATACGTTTCATGTTTCATCCCTGAATCCAGAGCACTGAGCTCCATGCCTGCCTTGAGGCTGGCAATAAGTGAAGAGAGCCAAATAAAAAGCAAGGCAGGTGGGCTTGCTCTACAAGCCCGTGTTCTCCCATGACACGCATCTCACTTGCTTTTCTCTACGTTTGCTTGCTTGTGTGCCTATTTGTGCTTTCAAACTCCTGTTCTCTCTTGAGCCCATATTTCTTTCCTTTTCCTCTGCCCCTTGCCCCTTTCGTCCAATAAAAACTGTCCTGCTTTACTGAAAAAAAGCAAAGTAAAGCAAAGCAAAGGAGAGAGGGCCAGCACCCAGAGTACAGGCGCCGAGTTTCTGGTTTCCAATGTTGAAACCATCCCCTGTGCTTCCTGTGTGACTTTGCACAAACCCTTGAGTCCCTGAGCCAGCGTCTTCTCCATAGAGGGGACAGAGGCATTGTCTGCTCTAGGAGACAACGTGGCAATGAACTGAGTTAGTGCTGGTTTTGTGTCTGGTATTGGGGGTGCACTGGTTAGCATCTTTATGATTTCTTATTGTGAGCAGGACAATGGCATCATTGGAGAAGGAGCAGGGCTAGACTGGAGGAGAGGGTTGGATTAAATCTGTTTTGATTTGTTTTTATCCTCCTGAGACAGCAGGGGGAGGTGTCTTTTTTTTTTTTTCTTTTTGGGTCACACCTGGCGATGCACAGGGCTTACTCTTGGCTCTGCACTCAGGAATTACTCCTGGCGGTCCTCAGGGGACCATATGGGATGCTGGGATTCGAACCCGGGGTGGCCGCGTGCAAGGCAAACGCCCTACCAGCTCCAGCCCCAGGGGGAGTGTCCTGAGGGTGCCCGGGGCTTAAAGGCCTCTTGGAGTCTGGCACCGAAGTCCTTGTAGGGTCAAAAGCGGCGTGGTCCCCAGGAGCCTCGCGAATGGGACTGCGTGGAGGGTTGGGGCAGAGTCCTCCCAGCCCGAGGCGCCGGCCAGGCGGGGCGCACTGGCGCAAGGTGTCCTGGGGCTCACCCTGTTGGCCACGGCCAGGATGACCAGGTTGCAGTAGGCGTCAGGGCTGGGGTCCTGCGGGTCGAGCGGGTTGGAGCCCGGGTGCCGCCGCTCCCAGCTGCCGCCGCCGCCCGCCTGCCTCCGCTCCCAGCTGCCGCCCGGCTTGCCCGCGCCGCCGCCGCCGCCGCCGTGTCGCCGCTCCCAGCTGCCGCTGAACGTCTGTCGCCGCTCCCAGCTCCCGGACGCCCGCGCCCCCGCGCGCTGCCGCTCCAGGCTGCCGCCGCCGCCGCCGCCGCCGCCCGCCGCCCGGCTCTCGGAGCCCGCGCCCCCGCCCCACGCCATCCTCCAGTCCAGGCTGCAGATGGTGTGGCGCCGCTCCGTGGTGCCCACCCGCCGCTTCTCGGGCGCCGCGCCCGGCGGGCCGGGGTCGCGCGCCGAGCCGCCGGGGCTGGCGTCCACACCCGCCGGCACCGGGTCCACGCCCAGACCTAGGAGCGGCGGGGTGGCCGTCAGCCTCTGGCGATCGGGGCTCAGCGGCCCCTCCAGACGCTGGGGGCACCTCCCCCGCCGCTCGGGGTCCTGCAGCGTCTGTCCACGCCCCTGACTGCTGGTCCCACCCTTGCCCAGCCCCTGGACGCAGGCCCCACCTCCGTCCTCGTCCCTGACCTCAGACCCCCACTCTTTCCCTGCCACTGACCTCAGGCCTCACCCCCTGGCCCCTGCCCTGACCTCAGATCCCCCTCGGTCCCTGCCCCTGGCCGCAGGTCCACCTTTTTCCTGCCCCTGACCCCAGAACCCCACTGTCCCCGCCCCTGATCTCAGGCCCCACCACTTTCCCCGCCCCTGACCTCAGACCCTCCCCCCCATGCCCTCGTTCCATCCCTAACTTCAAAGAGTTGGAGCAGGACCCACCGCACTCCAGTTTTTTCGGGTCCTGCCATCAGCCTCAGGCTTTGCCCTGGCTTTATCCCATATCCCTCCCGCTCTACCCCACCTCGGAGCCCCAGAACTGAAGGCAACCGCCTGCTTCCACCCTCTAGTCTCAGGACTGGATGCCAGTCCTGGGTTCCAGGATTTCGGGACCTACTCCTTGCTTTCGGCTTCCCCCGCCCCGCCCCCAGACTCAGTCCCTCCCCTTTGGGCGTGGTCTGATGCCTCTCCCCAATCACGAGCTCCTCCCCTGGCGCATGGCCCGCCCCCAGGACCGACTTCTTCCCCTCGCCTGGGCCGTCCTAGCCTCACAGTACGCTGGCCACGCCCCCCTCGCCACGCCCTTTAACTTCGCGCCCTGTCCTAGCAGGATTTTACTTCTCTTATCAGGTTTGGCCAGCATCTCCCTCCTGATAGTGTCAGGCCACTTCGTCCTCCTCCGGGTTCCGTCTTTTTACATAACCATATGCAAGCAGGTTATGCAAACGACCTACTCTAGCCTCGTGGTAACCGGGCTTAGTCCTTTTTCATCACCCCATCATCATCCAGCCTCAGGTCCTGCCCACGGTCACTACCCTCGCGAAGGCAAGACCCACCTCCTGGCCCTGCCCCAGCTCTCGCCCCACCCTTTGTACCGGTTTTAAGCACTAGCAGGTGCAGTGCGTCGTCCTGCAGGTAGGAGGCGGCGGCGATCTCGTGCGTGGGGATGCGTAGGATCAGCTCCTCGTTGTCCCGCCAGGTGAGCAGCAGGCAGCGGGCGGACAGGCTCAGGATGCTGTCCTGCTCCGCCGTGGTCTTCAACGGTAGCTCTTTCAGCTGCTGCATGGATAGGCCGGGGAATCTTTTGAGTTCTCGGGGAGGGAGCCATGGGGAAGAGGAAAGGGAGCAAGACCCTGCTCCTCCCCTAGAATCCCCCAAGCCTCACCCTGGCTGTGTCCAGCAGTTGCAGGAGCTCGTCCCGGCTGGAGGGATTCAGTGAAGATGTCACCCAGGTGAGGTGGCCCAGGAACTGGATGGAAATGGAGGAGATTGGTGGGCGATGGGCAGATAAAAATTACTCTGAAACCTTAGAAGTCCTGACACTGTGCCTCTAGACTGAGATTAGAACTAATGAATTATTAATAGCCTGGTAATTGCTATCATTAAAGGGGTTGTAAGAAGGCAGACAGTCCTGAGAGTCGTGTGTACGCTCATTCATATTCTCTTTAAAGATGAGAAGCAAAGACACAACGAAGCTAAATCATATGCTGGATATTTTATAGCTAGAAGAGACAAAACTGACCTCCACCCCCACCCCTACCCCCACCCCCGCCCCATCGCACTGCTAGCTTAGATTGCTCAAACACAAACTTCTGTAGCTAGGAGAGAAGCACAAGTCATTCTAGTGGCCTAAAGGAACCACCCATGAATTCCTGCTTGGCTGGAGGGCCCTGCCACCCCAACACACTGCTGTCAGCTGATTGTACAAAGTCCCTTGGCCCCTGAGATCCTGTCACCGAAGTCAGAGGGAAAGGAAAGATTTGCTGTATTAAGTCAGTATGGAAAGTTGTCAAGAAAAGGAGGCCCCCCAACTAACAACCCAATTCTTCATCCTCAGGTTTAGTTTAATGTTGTCACCTAAATGTTATTCAATCTGAGACTTTTATTTTCAGTTTTAGTTTTCTAGGTGAATTCCACCACTTTATCTTTATTTCCTAGGAAGTGTCTCCTAGAAAATATAAGATACTAAATTTAAAGTCCATGTGAACAACTACTTTCAAAAAAAAGTTTTAGAAAAAGTATTTTTAGTTCCATGCAATTTTTTTTTGTGGGGAGGTTTTGGCCATACCTGGCAGTGCCCAGGGCATACTCCTGGCTCTGTGCTCAGAGATCACTCCTGGCAGTCACCAAGACAAGTGCCCTGCCTGCCCCCTCCCCCCTTTCCTGGCCCCTCTATGCAATATTTGCAACATATAAATACTAAAAAAAAAAAAAAGTAAATCATGGAGCGATAGCACAGCGGTAGGGCGTTCGCCTTACAAGCGGCCAGCATGGGTGACCTGAGTTCGATTCCTCTGCCCCTCTCGGAGAGCCCGGCAAGCTACCGAGAGTATTTGATATGCCAAACACAGTAACAACAAAGTCTCCAATGGAGACGTTACTGGGCCCGCTCGAGCAAATCGACGATCAACGGGAGGGCCTTTACCTTTACCTTTACCTTACATTGCTCATCAGAAATTCAAATGTAGGGGTCATAAAGATAATACAGTGGGTAAGGCACTTGCCTTGTATGTGCCTGACCCGGGTTTGATCCCTGGATACCTTATAGTCCCTTGAGCACTGCCAGAAATGATTCCTGAGTGCAGAGCCAAGAGTAAATACTGGGTACTGCTAGATGTGCCTCCTCAAAAAAAAAAAAAAAATCAAATGTAAATGAACTCCTGTCTTTCCTAAATCTGCCATACCTACCCCACTCCTTCATGGCGTCCCTAAGCTAGGAGCACCCTGGCATGACCTGAACTGTTAGCGGTTGCAGCCCTGGATTCCTATAACCTGGACACTGTGTGGGTTGCAACAACATACAGGCCCCCAAACCCCCCAGGAAGGTGTGGCGGTTCCATGCGCAGAGCACTTTCCGGTCTGTGCTCCCCAGAAGAATCCCCCAACCTCTGCAGAGATGGGAACGCTGAGACCAGGGAGTGGAGGGCCTGGCAGAAGGGTTATGCCAGGGTTCACAGCAGAAGGCAGAGGCGCACCCAGCCCGGGCTGCCCTGTGCCCCACAGGGATTGAGGCTGGTGTGGGGGAGAGCAGAGGCTGGCCCCGTCACATTCCCGACACACCATCCTGCTTAGTGATGCCTGCCGCTGAAGGAGCCTGCCAGCAGGGCGGAAGCGGGAAGGTCACTCCGACCTCCCCCCTCCCTTTGCCTTTCTTCACTGAAAGCAGGGATAAATCTTCTCCCGGGGGACTGAAGACCTCCCTATCACCAATACAGGGAATTTAGGGCTGAGATAAATCTTCTTTCACTGGGTGTTACCCTCCCAGCTCAAATCCTTCTGCCTTGACAAAGCTTCCTGAATATTTCTTTGTTTAAAAGGAATAAAGACTTCCTTCTCCTGGTCACTTCTTGGGGGTTTTGTGAAGGATCTCAAATTGTAGGTGTAAACATTTTTGAGACACACAAAAGAATTTCGGAACCAAGCAGCTCGCTGCAGAGATGCCTCTGGGCCCTGTGCCAGGCCGATTTCACCGGGTGTCTCAGAGGGGAGCAGGTGTTGTCCCTCCACCTGTTCCCTTGGAATCTCAGTGGCTGCCAACTTCCAGAACTCAGTCAAAAGCCCAAGGACGCGGGACCAGTGACTGCAAACTCCAGGTCTCAAGGGACAGGGGATGGGCCAGTCCTTCCCATCTCCCCACCCCTATGGGACCCTGAAGGTCACGCCCACGAACTGCCTTTGGCTGCTACTTAAGCTTATTAACAGCCGTGATCCAGAGACACACAAAAGAATCTCAGAACCGAGCAGCTCGCTGTAGAGATTTCTCCAGACCCTAACGATCTAAAATTTTAGAATTCAAGGAGGCTGCGCAACATCTTATGCTGTTCATAACAAGCAATACAAAATAAATTATCTAGCATCTGACTGTTCAGCAGGTTTGAGTGGTGGTGGGAAAATTCAAAATAATGGTGGTGGGAAGGTATAATGGTGGTGGGACTGGTGTCAAAATATTGAATGTAATCCATTATTGTGAACAACTTTATGAAAATAAAATTTAAAAATATTTTAATGTGTCCTCTCCCAGGCCTGTCTTTGTCAGTTTCACTCACAGCCCCTCCCCGCTGCACTCCTCACCTAAATGTCTTCTCCCCACCACCCCCGGGTCCTCACCCTGCACATACCTTAACCTCTTTCTCCAGGTAGTCGCACAGCAGAATCTGGGGGTCGATGAGGTAGTCGGGGGGGTAGAGGGGCATCGAGTGCAGAGGCCTGCGGCTCACATTGCTCCGACAGGCTGCCCGGCGTGCTGCCTTGGGGAACACCAGTCGACGGATGGGTGATACAAAGCCCTGGGGGAGGAGGAAAGTGGGGCAAACATAATAAAGTCGGCAATGAGCCCTGATTTGTGTGAATGGGGGCACACCAGCAGGTGCTCAGGGCTTACTCCTGGCCCTGTGCTCAGGAATCACTCCGGTGGTGCTCAGAGAACCATCTACAGTGCCGGGAATCACAGTGAGCTTGGCTACATGACAAAGCAAGTGACTTAAACCCTGTTCTATCTCTCTGGCCCACCTTCCCTGGTTTAATTCTCACAAAATTTTTGTGAACAGGAATACCTCTGTAATCCCCATTTTAGAGAAGAGAAATGAAGCCTCAGAGAGGGAACAAGCTGACCTCAGTAGTTAGTTAGTGCTGAATAGTCTGGTTCTAGGGTCTCCCCCCCTTTTTTTTTGCTCTTTGGGATCACACCCGGAGATACTCAGGGGGTCCTCCTGGCTCTGCACTCAGGAGTTACTCCTGGCGGTGCTCGGGGTACTATATGGGATGCTGAGGATCGAACCCAGGTTAGCCACGTGCTAGACAAGTGCCCTCCCCACTTCACTATTCCTCCAGCCCCATAGGGCCTCCCTTCTAAACTCCCAGCTGAGTGGGGAGGTCCCGCTCGGGCGCAGGATCATACTGAAGGAATGAACCCAGGCTTCAGCAAGACAGGAAAAGGTTGAAATTTTACTTGTATAGGGTCCACAAGCATTTGTTAAGCTGTTTTCTTGCTTTGCCAATTATTAGACATAATAAATATATTAGTGGACTAGAGATATAATATACGGTTTATGGCACTTGCCTGGCTTGTGGCTAAAGCTATTATCCTGGTTAGAGTCCCAATATTACATATAGTTTGGTTCTCCAAGCACCATTACCAGGCATAACCGGAACCAGGAATAGCTCCCAAGCACCACTGGGTGTAGCCCATTTACACTAGCAAATTAATAAGTTCGCAGTGGGAACTTGCATAAAGTGAGCTGGAGAAAACTGCACTGCACTGTAGCACTGTACTGTCCTCCCGTTTATCGATTTGCTCGAGCGGGCAAACGCCTTGCCAGCTGTGCTGAAACTAATAGTGCAAATTCCAGGCCCTTTGTCCGGACTTTGACATCAAGATCTCAAAAGGAAGTTGGAGGGTTGGGAGTGTGAGCAAGTGCAGTGTCACACGTTATGTGTGTGAGGTCCTGGTTTCAGTCCCTGGAACTATGTGACTTCCAATCACTTTAGCAACAGCAAAGGAAATTGGAGCTCTACTCTAGAGCAGGGCTTCTTAACACCCAACCCCCTTTCACCCAAGAAATGCAACACGGGCCCACATTGCCAGAAACAACTGATTCCTGTAAAATGAATTACATTTTAGTTGTTGCACACTCAGAAACCTTTTAAGGGACAATTTCTCCCCGCCTTGCAACCCCCGCATTCAATTATGCAATCCCCTATTCGGTCATTACCTACAGTTTAAGAAGTTAGGCTGGGTCCAGAGGGTTGGGGCAAAGTTTTGCATGCGGGAGGCCTGGGTTCAATCCCCAGCATCACCTGGAACACTGAGCACCACTGCAAGCAACCCCAGAGCTCTGTGCGAGCAGCCCCTGTACACTGTTGGGTGCGGCCCCCAAACTGGCTAACAAAGACCGAAAACACTCGCCTGGAAGCAGAGGGGTGCTAAAGCGGCAGCTCTCCTGAGGGGCTCTTGGATCCACAGCGGCAGGGCCCCTGGGATTTTGAGAGGCAGGCTCCTCTCTGTAGAGGCATGCACGTTCCCTGTAGATGTATTCAATCAGAACTTGGGGGGAAAAAAAAAAGAACTTGGTCTGAAACCCTGTGATCTGTATTTTCTTGATCACAGCAGGTGATTTTGATGCATGCCCAGCTCAAACTGTGAACCTCCTCCAATGGTGTCCAAATGAAGTGCCTGAGAGCTCTGCGAACAAAGCATCTGGGGTACAGCTTCCCAAGCAGAGGGCACAGCATATGCACAGGCCCGGGGCCTCCAAAGCTGATGAACACCAGCATGAAGCTGAGCTGGAGGAGGTGATGTAGTCGGCTGGAGACGAGGCCTCTCCACAACTTTATCACTTGGGCGTGTGGATAATTTTCAGCTAAGATCAGCCAAGGCTCTGGCAGGCTCAAGAGACTTTTTTTAAGTACTCCTGTAACTGCCTAGAAGCTTCCACTTTGTGGATATTCCCCAGATTTAATTTAGCCCCAGAAATAATCTATCTAAGCAAACTTTTTATTTATTTGTTTGCTTGGGGGCCACACTGGGCATGCTCACAACTTACTCCTGGCTCTGTGCCCAGGTGTCATTCCTGGTAGGGCTCTGGAAACAATTTGGGGTGCCAGGGATCAAACCAGGTCAGTCATGTGCAAGTGCCCTACTCTGGCCCTGGAAAAGATGAAAAACTATCTTGGCCAGGAAAAAGGTAGTCTGGGGTCCTTTCTTCATGCAAGTCCTCGTCCTCTCTCCTTGAAACCCAAGCCCCTAATTTTATTCCTTACCTCTGGTTTTAAAAAACAAAAGCAAAGCTTGTTTTGAGCTCCTTTATATTAGAATTTACATTCAGATAGCTTCTCCAGATTTACCTCATTCAAAAAAGTGTTGCCTCCCACTAAGTGGCCTGCTGTTAGTTTGCTAGCTCAACAACCCTCGAGCCCAGATGGGTAGGGGAGATTTTCTCTCTGCCTCTCCACTGACGTTGGGGTTGACTGCAGAAAAAGTCATATGCAGAACTCTTGAATGCCAGAATGGGACTGGGACTATTCTGCTTGTGTGAGCATGTGCGCATGCGTGAGTGGCATGCAGAGGTACCTATTTTGTCTGTAGCCCCAAGTATTCCAGCTCTACCCAATACTCTGCAGGTCAATCTCTTTGACCCCCCCCCCCACAATGCCTGCACCTCATTCCAAATACAAGAAAGGCCCTTTACAATTATCATTCGCTACATCCTTTATTACCACCACAGGGCATTGGCACATGCTGTTTCTCTACCTGAAATATGTTTCCTGTCTCCCTTTCTTTCCAGCGTCAGAGCTGAGGCTCAAGTTGACCTACCTGGGGATAGATCTCCTGCTATTTCATCTCCCAGATTTTTAGGCAACTTTATATTTACTGACATTGGGCAAGGTTTGGGACCATATCTGGCAGTGCTCAAGAACCATTCACAGCTTTTTCTCCAGGGGTCAAACCTGGGGACAAGGCATAAAACCTGGGCTTCCTAAATGCAAACCCTGGGCTTAGTCCGCTGCCCTACCTCTTCTGTCTCACCTTGATAATCCTTGTTGGGTTTTTTTGGCCACTCCTGGTGGGGCTCAGGGGTCACACTAGACAGTGCTAGGGAACCTTATGGGGTGCCAGGATTCCAACCAGGTCACGGCTGCAGCTGCAGGCTAGTTCAAGAACCTTAACCTTTGTACTATCTTATGTTCATTTTGATTTTTTTTTCTTTTTTGGGCCACAGCCAGCGATGTTCAGGGGTTACTCCGGATTCTGCTCTCAGGAATTACTCCTGGAGGTGCTTGGGGATTCCGGAGGTCAAACCCGAGTCGGCCATGTGGAAGGCATGTGTGAAAGGCAAACACCCTTTCTGCTGTACTGTCTCTCTGGCCCCTGGTCCATTTTGATTAAAAAGAAGAATTGTTTTGATCATTGTATAATCGAAACCCAAGCACAAAAATGTGTAAGTCTACAACTGTACCTCATGGCGTCTCACTAATAAAAATTAAAAGAAGAAGAAGAAGAAGAAGAAGAAGAAGAAGAAGAAGAAGAAGAAGAAGAAGAAGAAGAAGAAGAAGAAAAAGAAGAGGAAGAGGAAGAGGAAGAGGAAGAAGAAGAAGAAGAAGAAGAAGAAGAAGAAGAAGAAGAAGAAGAAGAAGAAGAAGAAGAAGAAGAAGAAGGAGAAGAATTGTTGCCTTCTTGCTAGACAAAGGGTAAAGGGTCCCTGGGGGTGGGCAGGGAGCTCATCTGAGTTTGCTCACCCTGTGCTCACTCCAGGCGTAGTGCTGGCCCTCAGTTGGTGCCCCACAGGTGTCTACAGAAAGAATAACTCAAGAGAGAACCACAGCCACTATGATTCCAGCCCCTCAGAGCCCTCTGGATTTCCCTGGGAGCCTGGCCAGGCTTCCTTAGGGGAGCTGGGGGAGAAAACTCCATGGGCGTGGGAAGGGGGACCTTAAGGGCTAGCTGAGAACAAAGACAACCAAGGGAGATACACAGAGAAACAGACTAGAAAGCTTGGGGTGGGTCATACCCTTTGGTACTCAGGACCTACTCCTGGCTCCTGACATGGAGGACTGGGGAATAAGGACCAGGTCAGTTGCATGCAAGGCAAGCATCTTTTTATTTATTTTTCTGTTTGTTTGTTTTTTGGGTCACACCCAGTGATGCTCAGGGGTTACTCCTGGCTCATGCACTTAAAAATTACTCCTGGCGGTGCTCAGGGAACCATATGGAATGCTGGGAATTAAATCCAGGTCAGTCGCGTGCGAGGCAAACGCCCTGCCCGCTATGCTATCACTCCCAAGGTAAGCGTCTTGACCCTGTACTGTACCTCTAGGATCAGGGTAGAAAACCTGTGAGTCAGGAAGGGGTGAAGAGCAGACTTTGGGGCCCAGGGCGGTGCGCTAGATTGGAAGCCCTCTGAGCGGAGACTTTGGAATGAGGGCCTCAGCTTCTCAGCACAGCATCGCCTTGATGAGGTCCTGACCAGGAAGAGGAGTCAGTCTGTCTCTCCGTCTCAGAAGGGGCAGGAGGGAGGCACTAGGAACCCTGGAGAAGCCGGTGGGGTGCCCTCCCAATGACTCTATGTTTCCCGGTTTCTCTAGAAGATTCTCTGGTCATTCCAGGCAGGCACTGAGAGTGGAGACACCGGTGAGGGGCTTTGGAGCCCAAATATCTGACTTTTCAGGAGTAAGGGGAAAGCACCCTCCAATGGAGAAGAAAGTCCCTCCTGAAGCAGCTCATTATCCATCAGCCCCCTGCCCCTCTGCACCGCCCCCCACCCAGCTTTCGCTCCCCCAGCTCCGAGGACACCTCTTCTCGTCTCCCACCTACCTTTTTCCCTTTCTTGACTTCATATTCCATGGTGCAGCGTTCCCTGTGCGGCCACTGTCCCGGCACCCCCTCCGCCTCTCCCCACAATCCCTTTGTTCTTTTTCCTGCCTGGTCGGAAACTCCACCAGCCTCGCAGTTCCTGCCCCTCCTGTCTGACAGTGAGGGGGGCTGGGACATACTGCAGGACTCAGCCTGGGGACCCAGTGGCTGGCCGAGGAGTGGCCCTTGGCCAGGAGGCAGTTTTGGGAGCTTGGGAACTGAGAAAGGTAGGGAAGCGATCTCCCAAATTCCGCTCCCACTTCTGCCACTGAGCTGACGTTGCCCTGACGTTGGCAAGGTTGACCAGTTTCCCTCCTCTCAGCCTCAATTTCCTCTCCATGATTGGGGAATCAACACTGCCTCCCTCTCCGGGCTGTTGGGCTGAGAAATAAACGCGAGTGGGCAGGAGAAGCACCTTGAATGATCAGGCCTTGTATCCTAGAAAGCAAAGATTTTGAAAATTAATCATCTTAATGGAGGGGGGTGCACAGTGGAGGCAGACTGGCTGGGTTCCAACTCTAGCTCTGCCATCTACAGGGGTTATGATTTTGGGCAGGACCCTTTATTCTTTTGGCTTTTTGGGTCACACTGGCGTCACTCAGGGGTTACTCCTGAGACTATCCTCAGGAATTAACTCCTGGTGGTTCTTGGGGGAACATATGGGACACTGGGGATTGAACCAAGGCCAGCCAGATGTAAGGTCCTACCTGCTGTATTATCACTCTAGACCCACTGGGCTGGACTCTTAATCTCTTGGGTTTGCATCTGCGAAATGAGCCCTACTTTGAGTCTGGCCTCACAGTGACTGTAAAATTAAGTGCATGACGGGGCTGGAGCGATAGCACAGTGGGTAAGGCATTTGCCTTGCACGAGGCTGACCCAGGTTTGATTCCCAGCATCCCATATGGTCCCTTGAACGCCGCCAGGAGTAATACCTGAGTGCATGAACCAGGGGTAACTACTGTGCATCGCCGGGTGTGAGCCAAAAAGCAAAACAAGAATAGCAACAACAACAACAACAAATTAAGTGCATGATGACGTCTCCTGGCATATTAAAAGCACTAGATAAGTATGAAGTGGGACTGGAGAAATAGAGATAGTGGGTAAGGGAATTGCCTTGCACACAGCTGACCTGGGTTTCATCCCCAGCACCTGATATGGTCTCCCGAGCACCAGTAGGAGTAATTCCTGAGCACTGAGCCAGGACTAAGCCCCGAGCACTTCCAGGTGTGGCCCACAAACAGAAACAAAAGTATGAAGCATACGAAAGTCTAGGAGTTTCTGTTTTTAAACAACAACAACAACAAAATAATTAATTTTCCTGTCTAGGGTTTCTGTTCTAAGCTGTTTGGGCTTCTTTAAATGGGGTCTTTCCTGACAAGGCTGGCCTGATGGTCCAGGGCTCAAGGCCACTGTTTAACTGTCCCTTGGGAGAATATTAGAGAGAGAAGCCCACTTTGTGGCTCATTACTGGGTCCCAACTTAATGACTTTCATCTCACTTACTCCTCATAACCCCAGGGTACCAGTTTATGGGATGAATGAGAATCATTATCAGACAGAATTTTAAAAACAGGTGAGATTATTCCAATGGTAGATGCCCTGAGTACAACCCCCTGCAGATCATGACCCCTCCCAGCACCCACCTCACCCCTGCGCTAATGGATGTGGCTCTACGATAATAAAACCAGGTGGAACTGCAGAAATTGCTTTACAGAGATCACATCGTGAATGAGAGAGGTGGTCCTGGGATTTCTGCCTCTTCTGGAGCTGATGGCTTGTTCCGGGTATCGAGGCTCAAAGCACACTGTACGCCCATTTGCACCTTGCCAAGATGCCTGGGTTCTGGAGACCCCAGCTTTGGAGTTTATTGACGGTATGACTCCAGGCAGGATGCTTATTGTAGCTTTCTTTTTTCTTTTTTTCCTCTTTTGGCGATGCACAGGGGTTCCTCCTGGCTCTGCACTCAGGAATTACTCCTGGCGGTGCTCAGGAGACCAAATGGGATGATGGAATCGAACCCAGGTTGGCTGCACGCAAGGCAAACTTCCTACCTACTGTGCTATCACTCCAGCCCCTATTGTAGCTTTCTTAAAGCCTTGGCCTGCAGTGGGAGGTGTAGCAGAGACACATCAGGCCAGGACGAGAAAAATGGATAGAATAGTGCAGGAGACAAAGCACAAGAGAGCTCTGTTTGTTCTGAAAGCATGGACATGCCAGCTCAGTGGCGAGGGGAGCAAGGGTCAGAGCTTCCTCTGGGCGCTCCCAACCACCAGCCTTTCCCCTTTCCTCTCTCCTTTGGGAGTAGGGCAAGGGGCCAGGCTAGCACAGAGAGCTAGCACAGAGAGCCCTCCCTCCAGACCCCTGCTTCACTTCTCAAAGGCAGGAAGTAAGATTTTAATTCACCCGCTGGGCCAGCCAGAAGAAGCCTGAAGTGCAACCTAATCCCTGCATCCGCTCCTTGAGTTTCCTTGACTCAGTTCCAAATGCCCCCATCAGAGTGGTAGCAGGGAAAGGAAAGTGATCTCTTGCTCCCTAGCAGCTTTTTTACAAGCCTCTCTCAATTTATTTATTTTTAAACTTTTATTTATTTATTTTTGCTTTTTGGGCCATACCTGGCGATGCTCAGGGGTTACTCCTGGTTCTGCACTCAGGAATTACTCCTGGCGGTGCTCAGGGGGCCATATGGGATGCTGGGAAATGAGCCCGGGTCAGCCGTGTGCAAAGCAAATGCCCTGCCCGCTGTGCTATTGCTCCAGCCCCCACTAGCCTCTCTCAAGCTCCTTCTATAAAACGAGGAGTTTGGGGGCTGGAGTGATAGCACAGTGGGTAGGGCACTTGGCCTTGTGGCCAACCTGTGTTCGATTCCCAGCATCCCATATGGTCCCCTGAGCACCACCAGGAGTAATTCCTGAGTGCATGAGCCAGGAGTAACCACTGAGCATCGTGGGGTGTGACCCAAAAAGCAAAAAAAAAAAAAAAAAAGAGGAGTTTGGTTATTCCTCGACTAACCCCAAATACTGCTGAACTACTTGGGAGAGAAAGAGTACAGCCGGAGTTCCAAAAGCCATTATAAGAAGCCCACACTCTGTGTTCCCTGCAGACCCAGCCCAGAGTCACCGAGAGAGCAGAGGAAATGCCAGCGGGTGTGGGTGGAGGCAGGACTGAGAACAAATGTCTCATCTCTCGGAGACCCCATCTTCACTTGTCAGCAGCAGGATAATGGTGGCGCTTGAATCAGAAGGCGGCTGCAGGAATTAAATGGGAACATGAAGGATAGTGGAGAACGGATGATTAAAATTAACTTGTGAATGAAGAAAGCCTTGAGTGAAAAAGCATGCCTCTGCTCTCAACTTAAGAGTTGTGGCAAATGTCATTTGTCTCTCTGGAGCCACTGTCAGTCGATGGACGGCGGCTCCCTGGAGCTCTGTGTAGAGGATTATAAAAGATGGTGTGAGAAGGGGGATTGATGATCAATGCCCACCGTGAGACAGGACGGGGGCAGGTGGCAGCCAGATGTACAATCCTTATGCTGACCCAGATCGGGTTAGAGAGGAGGGCACCCGAGCAAACAACTCTGATCCGGACATGGATGATTTGGGAACAGGCAGAACCAGGACCCGGTCGCCCGCACTGGGTACTGGAGCCAAACCTTGCGGGGTGTCTGGGCAGAGGATGCAGTTCGATTGAAGACACGGTATCTAAGCTGTTTTGGTGAGCTGCCCAGGGTGGCTCAGACAAGAACAGAAATTTGTTCTCTCTCAAGACTGGAAGGCTGGTGGGAAGTGCTTTCAGGGCTGCTTTATCTGAGCTGCTCAAAATGGCAACTTCCTTATATTTTGGACTGGAGTTAAATACAGCCATAGGCCTTATGAGTGTCCCCGCTTCCTGTCCTGGGGCCCTAATCCTCAGTATCTTGGTGTGTGGCTGGAGGGAAGGTTTAAGTGAAAACGAGGCTGTAGAGTGGATGCTAACCTAACTTGTGTCCCTATTTATAAGAAAAAGTAATTTGAAGCCCCCAGAGGGATACTGGAGGTACACTCAGAGGAATGACAGAGAGAGATGCAGACGACATTAATCTGCTGAGGCAGTGATTTTGGCTTTCTAGCCTCCAGAACTTTAAAAATCAATTTCTTTTTCCTTTTTTTTTTTTTGGTGGGGGAGGGGGACACATCTGGTGATGCTCAGGGTGACTCCGGGCAGGCTAGGGGGCCAATATGTAGTGCCAGGGATCAAACTGGTCAGCTGCATGCAAGGTAAGGGCTCTACCCACTGTATTCTCTCTCCAGCCTCTCTCCCCCAAATATTAATTTCTCATAAAATACAGGTTGGGGCTTAGAGAGCTACTACTGGGGTTGAATTTGCCTGCATGCAGCCAACTCTGATTCAATCCCTGTCACCACACAGTCCCTCATGTGGCCTTAGGGTCCCCTAGCACCACTACTGGGGGGGACCTGGGTAACCCTTGTGTGAGGGCTCTCACCCCCATCACTCCAATTCTGTTGCTGCTGGTCTCAGGACATATTGAACCTTCTCTGACTGCTTACGAGCATCCCTATCTGAGGCCATTTGTGACTTGCCTCCTGGGGCCAGGTTGGAGCTACAGGACCTAGAACTTGGGAGGGGGGCTCTTGGGGATGGGGCCCTCTCTGCATGAAACAAAAGTGGGAAAAGTTTTTAGAGGGCCTCTGGGAAACAGAGTAGCTAGTTTGGAGGGCCTGTGGATGGAGTGTTGGTGTTGGGAGGTGAGGCACAAGGGCGTTTGGGGCTGTAATAAGTCAGTACCAGGCAGAAGAGATACTGATCTTTAGGGACCCTGGGGAGGTTCTTTAGCAAGAAATGTTATGCTCAGATTGGGGTGTGTGTGTGTGTGTGTGTGTGTGTGTGTGTGTGTGTGTGTGTGCGCGCGCGCTTCTATATGTGAGTGTGGTCCTCAAAGTGAGATCCTCAGACTCTTTGTTATCAGAATCTTCTAGAGAAAAAATTTTAAGGGATAGTTCCCAAGTATGTGCGTTCTACC